CATAGACTGATTTGGCACGACTAGAATGACTGTCCCTAATGGAACCTTCTCTCTCTCTCTCTCTCTCTTTGCCATCCTGGCGTCGTCATCGTTTTTGTTTCGTCTGTAGGTATCGTTGTTGTCACTCTCGCTTGGGGCGGCCCTGTTTGAAGCTGACCTGAGCTTCGTTCGTTGTCTGTCAGTGCTGCAAGATGGCGGCGCGTGGCAAGTTTTAAACAGGGGACTGCGGATTCACAATGGGTGCTTTATCTATTGAGTGATAGTAATGGAACTTTACAGTGATTACTGACACTTAACGCCCTGTTGATGATGGGCGTCGGTGACCGATAGGTCCAGCGATTTGATCGATCGACCGATGTATCGGATGAACGTGCAGGTTGGTGTCAATGGGAGGAAGGCTGGGGGCGAAGTGCTGTGTAAAGGGGGAGGAGAATCGGAGGAAGATGGGCAGGAATGATGCGAGTGCGATTATTGGTACGAGTGCGGTGCGATAAGGCGGGGTAGGGCCCGTAGGGGGAGTTGAAACCTACCACCTGTTTCCCAGTCGGAAAACGGACTGATCTCTATCCTCGGTCTTAGTGCGGCGGAAGGACAAAAGTCACTTGGTCGAGTGTAGGGTAAGGCATGGTGTCAGCCCTAGAGGAGGAGCAACGGAGGAACGATAAGAGTGAGAGAACGTAGTTATGATTTCGGTCGCGTGGAGGCGTAGTAGTGGAAGTCGAAACCTACCGTCTTCCCCCGAACACAACGCACACTCATTTTGGCTGTATGTGGCCGGCAATATAGCTTGTATACATTCATTTTTAGGGTGCGTTATGTTCGGGGGAAGACGGTAGCTCTTTCGGAGAACCGACTGATCCTATCTTTGTCCTTGGTCCGGCGTGAAGATACGATGCACCTTGATGCGTATTGTAGGGTAAGGCATGGTGTCAGCCTTTTCCAGTCGCTTACCGCTTCACAACACAATGGATCAATTTCTCCCCTTAACCCCGGTGCGGCGTGAGGATGACGCGGCTGCCCGGGTGGGGAGGGTAGGGCATTGAGTCATCTCTTTTCCCTGTCACGAACCCTCGATTTCCCCCTTCGCTCTCGCTGCGGTATGAGATGATGCGTGTGCCTGTGTGCACAGGGTAAGGCATGGTGTCAGTCAGTCTTTCACCACTTCCTTCGTGTTCTTTTGCACTCTTGGCCCCCCTGGTTCTGTAGCGTTGCTTCCACGGCCCCTCCCTCGTAATCTGTCCACGTGTCTTTCGTCTTTTCCTTTCCCTTACCACTGGGCATTTCGTGCAATGGTCTCTGCTGGAAATCATTTGTCTTCTGTACATCCACAATCGATTGGGGGGTTGGATATCGTTTTTCTTCTGTACATCCACAACCGCTTGGAGGTGTTCCTATGTGCAGTCCTCTGCTTGGCACTCTCTCCATCCTGTCGCTCCACCATCTTCTCTGCTGCCCTCCGTGAGAACTCTGCTTTCTTTTCTGTATCATCGATTTCATTGTGCCTTGTAAACCACCACGACCACTACCTCCTGAGTAATTGTCCCACCCGTATAATTTGTGGTCGTCGACCCCTAATTCAACATATCAGTCGAAAATGCCCAGGCCTCTTGGTAAGCATGGACCCTAATTCAGCATATCAATCGAAAATGCCGAGGCCTCTTGGTAAGCATGGAAGACATGACGAAATATTCGAGCGGTTAGACGCCTGTTTTTCTCACCTCTGCAACTCCCATCTCTCCCTCCATTTCTCTTCCAGTCTGTGTTTTAGTTTGTCCTGCTAATCTGTCCTCGCTATCTCTCCTCCCTATTCTCTCCCTTCAGCTTAAATCTCCGCTTTAACTTCTCGACCATCCCCTTCCATTGCCTACTCCGAGTTCTTGGTCTCTCTCTTTCCATTTTGCTTTCAGCAGCCCTCCCAGGCATACAACATCGCGAGTCTTGTGATACCCATAGGGGGCGTTCTAGGTCGAAATCTGCAAACACTGTCTGTAACAGGAGAGACCAAGGAAAAAACTCGTAAGACACCAAGGAAAGAACTCGAAATCTGCAAACACTGTCTGTAACAGGAGAGACCAAGGAAAGAACTCATAAGACACCAAGGAAAGAACTCATAAGAGACCAAGGAAAGAAGTCGTGATGAACTAGGCTCTTGAGTTGAACAGGAGAATACTCGGCTTTGTTAAGAACAAGTGCCCAGAGAGAAATCTGAAATGGGGTCTATGGCATAGACGTTGCCCACCAGAGGATGTCGTATGACACCACCAGTTTAGACGAGCTTTGAAGTTTATGAAGCTACCTTCCAAGGCTCGTGAGCTTGCAACTGCGCCTTTTCAAAGCGGCCTGTCGCGTTTGCTACCGGCCTAGGACTGGGCCAGGGCCGAATAGAGAAGCGTAATGTACCGGTAAGAGCACTACTTCGGTTCGTGCGAACTGAGGTGGAATAATTATGGGATTGTTCAAAGGAACAATCATAAAGATACACGCACACCAAAAAAAAATCCTCTTTGGTAAGCTGAAGTGGAATAGTTATGGGATCTTTTATTCGTTTGAGGGCGAGGACGAAGATGCTAATGTAGTCTGGTAGGCGAGCTTATAAAATTAGCCCCCGCTTTTTCTGAGTTCGTGACCGATCCTGCACCCTTGCACCAGCACGTCCAGGCTTTATCTTCGGTATTCTGCATATCTGGGATCCCAGTGAGTGATTTCTCTGTCAGCTCCCTGCTTTTTCTCGTGAAGCAGAAAAAAGCAAATCTTGCGGGGCCTAATTTTGATATCAGTTTAGGCGCTATGTTAGACGTTATAAGGTTTATTGGACAAAGTCCCTGAATTATTCGAAAGAGTTGAAGAGGATCCGTTAAGTAATAGAGAGGAGGTAAAATGGCGGACTGCAAATTACTGTGTGCTATTCGTTAGAGTTCATT